TAGCTAAATTATATTACGTACTACCCGTGCATCGCACGAGCTTCAAAACTAGTGTTACTAAATAAATTTAAAACGGAGAAAGTACTATATTTGTTCCTAAGTTTATTCCCACCGTGAATGTACTAAAAATACACGATTTGATACTCAGTAAAATATACGAGAAATACCCATCAAATTATACTTAACAATATTTTGGCCTTGTTCAATTTTTATTACCTTAAATAATGATGTGAATTGTATAGTACGATGATTATATCTAACTTAGTCAAATGTTATAATAATTTGATGGCTCCCGAAATTTGGAACGGATGGGATACTGATGTATTACAAACTCTATTAGTTTATTCGCGTATGATTCGTGTATAATACACTCAAACGTATAATTCACGTACAATACTCCCGTTTATGAATTTTTCAAAAAATTCTAAAACATTCACGTACTTTAACGATAAAATGTATAATACACGTACCGTACGTATTGATACGTATTTTATTCACGAATAATACTCTCGTTTATGAATTTTTCAGAAATTTTTTGAAAAACTCACGTACATTTTAAGGATTAAATGTATAACACACATACTGTATGTATTGATACGTATTTTATTTAAAAACACACACCATTAAACGGAAGCCCAATGGAGTGATACAACTGAAATGAAATGTCTAGCTGCTCAATATTATTTATATTGCTTAAAAAACTTTATGCCTTATATGTTCGTTAATTGTTTAATAGTCATTACATTTAATAAATTAGCTTCTTAAATTCGTAATCTGTTTCGATATTACTATTGTACTACTATTGTATTACTTTTGTTCTCCATCCATACCAAGACTCCGAAGAGATCGAGAAATGTTGTGGCGGCTCATCAAACGGTCAGGGCCGTCTAATGAATTTGGAGGCCCCGGTTCCAAATGACAAATTGAGGTCTCTAAGACAAGAAAAAATACAAATTTTGACAATGAAGCACAAATAGTTTAGACAATTCAATGAAATATAAATTTTATGATGTTTAAAGTGCATAAATTAGAGAATTTAAAAGTTATATGCCTTCTAGAATCTTGAATAATACATGACATCTTAGAAAAATCAACCTTCAACTAACACTACCCTCTCAATTTTTGGAGGCCCTCTACTAGAGTAGGCCCCGGTGCGAAGCACCTATTGCACCTCCTAAAAGACGACCCTGCAAACGGTCATAGTAATATCAACTATTCTCTGGTAATATCTCTCTACTTCTACTTAAATAGGCAATGTCATTTTTATTACTTATTGTACCTATGCATTCAAATCCATATATCTGAAAAAACAATTCCGTACATTTTAAATTGTTGAAGAATGTGGTGGAAATGTTAAATAACTCTTTATTTATATCATTAAATTAGTACTAGTATATAAGACACGAGGGCAGTTCACATCAGGAGTTCCTGATGAGAAGCCCCGTGCGGACAAGACCATAAGAGGGTCTTCCCGGTGGAATTTTTTGATGAACATTTTTGAGCATGTTCTTCATCAAGTCTAGTTTGTCCATACCAAATTTCAGCTCAAAATTCGATTGGGAAGGCAGTCAAATAAATCCTGGAAAACTATGGCTCATTCTGCGCATATATAAAGTGCAGTATGTTTCCAGGATTTATTTGACTGCCTTCCCGATCGAATTTTGAGCTGAAATTTGGTATGGACAAACTAGACTTGATGAGGAACATGCTCAAAAAATTTCATCAAAAAATTCCACCGGGAAGACCCTCTGATAGGCTTGTCCGCACGGGGCTTCTCTTCAGGAGCTCCTGATAGGAACGGGACTCTATAAGACACATACTATATACCGTATTTTTAAATCGTGAAACGTTTAAAACACGCCCGTATCTTTATATATTTCACGAACGAATGAAATATGTATTAAGCCGTATTTTATATAATTGTATCGTATTATACACGAACGTACGTATTATTGTATTATTCACGAACCGTATATTACTAACAAAGATTACAAATACGATAGTACGAAGTATTATTTTATGCGTAGATAAGACCTTTCCTCGTGCTTCATACTCGTATATTTTTTGAAAGAAAAGACTTAATTATTACTCCTTCCGTCCCCTTTTAAATGGGACGGGAGATGGTGGCACGGGTTTTAAGAAAAGTGAGTTTGTGTGGTTGATATTAATTGATAAAGTAAGAATAAAGTAAGAATGATTTTGAACCACACAAAGTTTACCAAATAAGGTATGGGGCAATTAAATAGGGACATCCCAATATGGTAAAATGGGACATTTAAAAGGGGACGGAAGGAGTATTAATAATGAAAGTAACAAGAGACAAAACAATACAATAGCTTAATAGTACACCGGGGTGAGACATAGAATTGAATAGTCTTTGAGGACATGTCAAATTCGCTAATACCGCATTATGGTAGCATAATCTAATAGTATTGGTGAACTTGGTACTGCAATGATAAAAACTAAGCAAGAATCAATATATATATATAAAAGAGGAACTTTTTAAGAGCATATGACGCGCCACATAATCTTGCCATGTCATCATATATATCACATCAATTAAAACGTACAATTATACGTACACATGGAAACGTACAATTAAGTACAATTATCAATCTTGCCATTCTCATGACTATACATACGTAGAATGACTCTTTGTTTTTATGTATTATTTAAGTAACTTTTTATATACCTTTAATTTTTTTATTACATTCTATTTTTTATTGCATATTGATACGAAAATAGAAGATATATAATCCACCTTATTTGGTAACTTTTGAGAACTTATTACGGAATACTTATTAATTTGGATAGTTATTAAATTTAGAAATTAGAACCACATCAATTAATAGTCATTCATACACATGGGCTATTAAATTTAGAAACTGGAACCACATCAATTAATAGCCATTCGGAAACAAAAGAGTAGAATCCGCCTTATTTGGATATTTTATACTACGTATCAATTATTTAATTATTTATATACCTTTTATTTTTATTAAATTCTATTGAAGAAATAAATTATCCGTGTTTTGGCCACCTAACAGATAAACCAACCAAATTCCTATTAATGACTTAATGTTTTTCATCAAAGTTGTTTTATATACTTGGTCTAATATAAAGTAATTTGATAAAAGTGATCAAATAATTCAAGCATCTCAATTTAACCAGCATCAGGTCGGGATAAGAGGTTTGTTCATCCACCTTCAAAGGAAGCATCCCGTTTTTACCAGCTACAGGGAAGGGAGAAGAGGTATAACCAGCCACTTCCAAAGGAACCATCTCGTTTACGGGAAATGTCTGTATTTTAGGTGATGTTGTTCTGGGAGCACTGTCTGCTTGCCGTTTTTTATCCTTTCCAATCAACCTCTTTCATTGACATCCAATCATAAGCATGATTTAAGCTCTCCATTAATGATCAACAAAATGAATGTCGATTCCGAGACGGAGAAAAAAAAAAGCAGTAGAATTCACGAACAAAAGCACAAACACGTTCACAACTGGGACGGACCAAACCCTCGACAAGAGAAAACTCAGCCGGACGAAACAAAAATGAGCAAAAAATTAGTCGAAAAGAAATCCCATGAGAAAACATTAATTACCGTAGCACATGATTAGAGCCTTGTCGAGCTGCTGATGTGCCGTTGCACCGGGCAAGACCATGAAGACGCGCTGATGTGCGGCTGCTAGGGTTTGGTCATTAGGCTTCTAAGGTCATTAGATTCTTATAAACTCCTCTTTTGATATTCTCTCGTGTTTTGTATATTAAAAATGTGTTTAATATTTAGATATCAATAGTCATAATTATGTTCAATTGTATGTATATATATAAATAATTTCAACTTCTTACCAATTTCACAAAAACAAAACAACATAATTGATGTTGGGTTTCGCAACCATTTCATTATTATTACCTCCATCTCACTAACATTGAAACTTGAGAAGATGGTACACTTATTAAGAAAAATGAATTTATGTGATTGATGTTGAATCGATAAAGTGATTTAGAATCACGCAAACTTTATCAAATTTGATATAGGACAATCTTCATGGGACGGACCGAAAAGGAAGGGTGATACAATCTTAGCGGGATCGGCGAAGAGAGTATAATATAAGCCTTTTGCAAAAAAACAGAAATTATTATCATGAACTTTTTAGTACGGAACGTTTAGTAAAATTGAGACAATATTAGCAGGACGGGGGAGTATAATATAAGCCCTTTAGTCCTGTACTATACACAATTAATGTATATATATATATACAATATAAAGTCTAAAAAAGACCACTATCCACTGGAAACCATTATACTATTTTTTGAAAATCAAATAACTAATTTATTATAAAGCGATAGCAAAAATACAAGAGAATGAATAGCCTGAGGCTACAGTGGGATGAGACATAGAACGGAACAGATTCAATGAGTCCTTCCAGATCGCTAACCCCGCAATAATGTAGTCTAGTCTAACAGCCTTGCTGATCTTCTTGCTACTCCAAAGAGAAATTAAAAAATTACAACTAAAAGATTCGGCTTCACCGGCCACCGGAAAGGGAGAATTGGTTTGACTAGCAACCAACAAAGGGAAATAAGTCGAGTAGAAATTTCTTGAAGCATCGGTTTGACCAGCCACCGAAAAGGAGATCCGCTTGATCATCTTCTTCTTCCCAGAGTGAGGCGGTGGGTGGTTCACGTGGTGGGCGAGTATTTGAAATATCAGAACAACAAGGTTGAAAAAGCTTCACCAGATCGATTAGAAACGCACAGCCTCTAGACATTGCTAGAAGAATAACATACCACACGCTCACATGAAGCGGACAGAATTCTCGGCCAATGAAGAAGCTGGACCAAATTCTTTGAAAATAGAAATTGAAAAAGAGCAAAAACATAGAAAACCTTTGATTCGATCTTTCATTGCATAGAGAATGTCTTCATCTTCCAAAATCGGATCTTGAAGGGGTGGAAACCATTATACTAAGAAAATTGATCATCCTGATTCTGCCATTTGGTGGTGTGCACTATACAGGTGAATGATTAATCGGAACTACATCACTAGTAGTTCAGCCTTTACTTCATTTATGATGTTACAAAACTTTTAATTTATAGAGTTGAGTAAAGAACAGAAAAATTATCATCCAAAAATTCTGCAATTTGTTGATCTACACACTATACAGGTGAATCAACACTTCATAACTTAATCATCCAGTTTTGCAATTTATGTGGTGTAATATACAGTTGTATACATCAGAAAGTAATCTTTTCACCCAGGCAATGTATTTGGTGGTGCAGGTATGATCCCTCCTCAGTTCACTGTGAAGAAAGAACAGGCGCTTCAATTCTCTCTATCTCGTCTTCGGAGGCTTTCTCCAATGGCACTTGCTTTGGCAGCGTGCAAGCGTAGCATAATGCCACAACCTAAAACATTTATTAATATTTATCATGATGTACATTAAGGTGCGCGCGCCTAGACCTGTCCATGGTTTCCGATTAAACAGGAATCGAAAATGCGGGCTTTTGAGATGGAATCGCAACCGTAACCGGCACCGCATAGTACGTCCGGTTTGAAACTGGGGGTTTACTAGCCGGGTTCGACTCTTCCAAAAATGGGTACCGGAATCTTAATGAGATTTAATATAATAAATGATAGATTAATTAATTGGTAATTATCTATAATGAATAATAGATTAACGTTAATGGAGAAAATAATATGTGTATGATTAATACAAAACAAACTTATATAAATCAATATAGCAAATAGTCGAATACAAATACAAATACAAAATTAATAATAAGACATCATAAAAATTAAAAATGTCACGTTTTTGAAAAACTTCGAGATGTACAACATTAAATGTGAAACTAACAATTCCTCTAAGAAAAAAATTGAAAATAATAATCCCAACTATTGCCGGTCCGCTAATAATAATCCCAACTATTGATTATTTTTGTATAATCCCAACTATATGGATCGTCCGCCAATAACGGTCCATGACCAAATATTATCTCCTATAAAAGTGAATTTTAAATAGAAATTATGTGTAAAAATTAAAAGTTGGGATTATTGATAGGGATTACTTGCTATTTCTCTTCTCATCCACTTTAGAAACTACATGAATTTATTTACAAGGACTATTATTGGCGGAAGGTCCCTAAAGTTGGGATTATTCTTAAATAATCGATAGTTGGGATTATTATAAGCGGACCGCCAATAGTTTAGATTATTACAATCAATTTTTCCTTCCTCTAAAGATGACTTTTGTATATATATATTTTTTTTTTGCACTGAATACATTAACATTAATTTGTTATACAACTAATCTATTACACTATATATAAAGATAAAAACTTACATGTAAGGTCTGAGAACCTTTTAAGATAAATCCCAAGTCCTAATATATACTATTAGCGCAATTAAATTTAAACATGCTATCGGTCTGATTAAGTCTTTAAAAGAAGGGAAAACTGTCAAATAGGCCCTCGAACTTTCATAAAAAGGTCAAATAAGTCTTTATATAGGAGGCTTTGCCCGGCCGTCGCAATTTGGGGCGGTTCCCGGTGGAATTTATTGATGAAAATTTTTGAACATCTTACTCATACCAAATTTCAACTAAAAATTCAATCGAGAATGCATTCAAATTAATTCTTGATCTGTTTCGCCGCTGACTTGTGAGGCGTGCTAAGTCATAGTGCGCAACAAATATAAGTATACAACTTACTTATATGACTTTATACTATTTGTTTAATACAGTTTAACATGTTAGGATGAAACTGTTATGGATCCATTCTATGAACAAGTATATTAACGAGCGCGTGGACGGGAAGGTTCAGGGAAATTAGTTGGTCAAATTGGGAAAGATAAGAATGCTTTAGGTGGCTGACCACGAGGACAAATTTAGTAAATTTGGCTCCACCTCGGAAATGATTCAAATGTAGTAAATTTAGTTTTTCTTTTAAAGTTAAATGCATTTAAATATCTTAGTCATTGTATAATCAAAATAAATAAACAAAATGAGTTTGAGAAAGATAATTAAACGAAAGCGTTTGAGTTTGGGTCTATCTTTTAAGTTTTCCTTCATACTCCCTCTGTCCCCCTAACTTTTACCTGTTTTACCTTATTCGTCTGTCCCGTTAAGTTTGTCTCATACCATATTTGGTAATATTTGGATGATTACAATTCATTTTTACTTTTTCATACTTTATCAATTCAATATCAACCACACAATTCCACTTTTTCATAAAAGTTGTACCACACTCCTTTTGTCCCAAATATAGTGGAACGGAGGTAGTACTTTATTTCCTTAGAACTTTCCATTTTAAACGGATCGGACTCTAAAGGTGAAACCATAGTGGGGAAAACACCTAAGCACTCAAGAAGAGCCTAGGGCCTAGGTGGGGATTTTTACTATCACTACAATGCAATGAGAGGAAATAAGCAGATTACCAAGCACAAAGAAGCACAGATAAAGCTGAATCCCTTGCAGTTGAATGGTGCATTTTGAGACAAGAACCAAGCTGGAAGAACATAATTAGTCATTAATTAATTAATTAATATAGTGGGCAACTATTAACAAAAAGTATTCATTCCATATCAATGGATTCAAATCAAGTTTACAGTGAAAGTTCTTCAAACTTACCAGTCAATGGACTCATCCCGATGGGAGATAAAAATATGGCAATTGCTTTCACACCATCAACAAGTGCTAATACTTTACCCTACACACCACCATCGTTATAAGCTTATGGTGATATATGATAAAGGCGAAAACCAACTCTAGTTGACGATGTATCTCTTAGACAATGTCCATGTTTGTTCTCTTCTATACATTTTACCTAGACTTTGAAGATAATGATTAGGAGACTGAAGATCATATTTTTCAAACCTGGTCAGTTGAGCTTATTGCTTGGGATATCATAGCATAAGACTGTCATCAATTTAATTAAAAACAATTAAGATAAATCAATTGTGGATATGAATAATAGTACTATCATCAACCCATCAGGCTTGTTATAATGGCGTGTGGGCTTACAGCCGGTGTAAATAGGACAAAGATGACTCCAAGAGATGCACTTAAATAAGCCACCTGTGTAGACAAATATTTGTAGTCAAAAGAACTGGTGAATTGGGGAGAATCTAATATGTAGTCATATCAACAGATGAAACTTATCTACTTGGAAAAGAGCATACCCATGGTGCCCAAGCCAATCCATAAAGCAGCGCCTATCGGATAAATAAATTAAATTATAAGTGTCATTCTGAGACTGAAAGGTCACATGTTCAAGTCTTGGTAGCGGCCTCTTGTCAAAATGACAAGGGAAGGTGTGCCCTTATACATGCTTGTGTGGGACCTTTCCATGTACCTTCATTGAAAGTATTTCAATAATGCTTAAAGTGCACCGTTTGGCCTTTAAGGTGTCATTTCGTGACTATTGCCTATTGGTCTCATTCTGGTATTCCATGTACATAAAAAAATTGGTTGGAAACACAAATTGAATTTTATGTTACATCATCTTACATATGCTATTGATGACAGCAAGGCAATGCAAAACATCAGTTTTTCTCCAACGAACGGATAGATAAGCGGAAGCACAACCATCTTGACAAAAGACAAAAATGGAAGTGTAAATAGCATGTTTAGTTCCCTTCTCTATTCGATGGTAGAAGAGAATTACACTGTAGGCACAATTTCAAAAATCATAACATAAAAATCGTACGGGAAGATGTGCATTGCAAGTAGTACCTGAGATACAACTGAACCTACTCCCACGACCATCAAAACTTCTGACAATTGATTTTTCTTAAAACCAAACACAGCTTTCAAATAGTACTGCATGTTTATGAAGACACTAATTGTAAGAGTAATAGAAAAAAAAAAAAGATAATGAAAGGGCCCTGCCTTGAATCTCTATTAGCAGAGGTTAATCTTTATGATAAGAACATAAAATATACTAACCAGTAAGACTGCATCGATACTGGACATTCCGAGCTTGAAGAAGAAACTTATCAGGGTGATGCACTTCAATATTGGACTAATAAGCAGTGGGCAGATTGAAAGTATTTGAATAACGTTTAGAAAAAAGAAGAAGATTAAAGTACAATACAATATACGCAATATGCTCTTGGCAAACATGAGCCTATTATGCGTATCACCTCACCTGTGGATGACAATCATTATAGCACGTTTCATAGAGTCATATCGCTCCCACAAAAACTTCTTTGCCTTGTTCACATTAGGAGGACATTGATTCACTCCATTGATAGGTTTAACAGTCTCGACTAGATACAACACCATGTAAACAGGAGTAAATATCGAAAGACCTATTGCAACCTGAAACATCATCATGAGAATGATTGGAAATTAACATTATATGGAAGATTTAACTCAAATTAGGTCTTGGCACCCAATACCTCAAAAATATATTTCTCTGGAAGAAAACGTGCCAAGACATTTCCAAGGATATCAGAAGCAGAAAAGAAACCTGTCATCCAACTAAAAACTATACCTTTCTTCCTCTGATCAGTAACATCTGCCTATAATACAGTTAGATGTTCGTTATTAAATTATCAATCTTATTAGATAGTTGTGTTTTTCTGATGACATAAACATTGGGTCATACCGCATAAGCATACGAGATGCAGAAAATGTTTCCATGTCTACTTATTATATTAGAAAGTGTATGAACCACATAGAAAGCATATACGAAACCCCTTGACTGACTAATGACAAGTAAAACTGCAAAAGAAAGAAAATGAGTTACGGTTCTTAATGGCACGAATAAAAAATAAATGACATAAGATGGTAAAACACTAAAACAAACATGTTATGTACAAGAAAGAATGAAATATCTTTTAATACATACTTTGTACCATTTTATCATTGCTTTTGACAAAATTGGTATCCTCTTAGTGTTTTTGATAAAGTTCAGTATTAAATGCTTGCTAGGAATCTCCATATTCTTACAAGCTTTAATATAGGAAATATAGTTAACTTAACTTGGGATAAAGGCTAGATAGTGTTAAAACATGGAGTTTCATCCTAAAAGTTTAATGACAATCGGATAGGAGGAGTAGCCCGAGATGTTATATATTGGTTTATTTGTTCAAATTTTACCAGTATGGAAAATATTCCAATACATATATAGCCTAGACTTCAATCCAAGACATGCTAAGACCAATTAACTAAAACTGAAATGCTCTCCTATCCTTCTACATTGAGTTTCAAGTTCCATGAATGGCTTACATGCCTTCTTGTAAGTGTAATCCTAATCATATCAATAAAAATGCTTACATTTAGCTTGGCTTAGCCCCAAAACGCCCATAATTTTTTCCCATTGTGTCCTTCCATTTCATAGGCCTATGTTCTTAGGATATAAACGAAAAATAGTGTTATTGGTTCAGATCATCCATGTCGTAGACTCCAACAGTGCTATAGATGGAATTATTCTCTGTCTGTAGTCTAACCTCACACTTTAATCGATCTCCTATCAAAAGAAGAAACATGAACTGGATAACGGAAAAATCACAAAATAGAGATTGATTTGATGCATACTATAAGGGAAGATTGTAGTCGATACAGTGAGAAGTAGAATTGGTTTTCTCCCATAATCATCTGCCAGCTGACCAAGTATAGGAACTACCACCATCTTGAATATCCCATCAACCTGCACGTGAAATGATTTTACAAAGTAGTAAAATATACTCGGATATTGAGAGGGGGGTACTGTTTACTTTATCAAAGTGCACTGTATTTATTTTTGTGGTGATTTTTTTCAAAACTTAAAATGTGACACTTATTTTGATACGGCTCAAAAAGGAATACTTTTCAAAGGAGTATAATATAAATCTTAGCTCACACGGTGCAACTATGAATTACAACTAGCTAATATTCAACTTAAAACAAAGATGAAGAATGATGAGTTTTTCTATTATATTCAATAATGTAATGATATTCTTTTTATGTTTTCGTTTAACTTAATGAAGATAATGTTGATGTGATGATTTTCTTTTTATATTTTGTGTAAATTTATATTATTTAATGAAGATGATGTAGATCTAATGTATCATTTTTTACTATATTTTACCTAAGTTATGTAGCACTGTTTGTGTACAACATCTCAACTTTATTCCCAAAAGATTTTTGGATTGACTAACATGAATCGGTCCATGAAAATTAGAGCCAAAAAAGAAAAAGAAAAAAAAAGACAAGGTAAGATAAAATGAGTAAGATAAATACAAATATAGGATAACAATAACATAAGAACACAAGAATGATTAAAGATAAAAAGATAAGAGAACATAAGAAAGATTAAAGATAAAAATAACATAAGGATATACTTCGTAGAAAAATAAAGAAGATAAAAGAAAAGAAAAGAAAAGAAAAGAGAGAGAAAGGAGAGAACTACATAAGAAAAATGTTTGGTGTACACTTTTTTGTGTAGACCTTTCGTACACTTGTCAGTCTCATGCACACAGAGTTGTCTGCACACATTGTTCCTAGTGATGACCCTTTTCTCATTAGATTATTATCATACTTCATATAATATAGAAAAATATTACTCCTCCCATCCCTTGAAACTTGATCAAGTTTGACCGGCACGCGAATTAATAAAGTAAAAATTGTGTGGTTGAGGTTTGTGTAGCCAAAGAGAGTTAACCGGAATTACAAATTCTTTACCTAAAAGGGAAAGTGCAAAATTGGTGGGATAATGAAAAAGAGAAAGTTTGCAAAGTTTTAAGTGACGGAAGAGAGTTAACCGGAATCACAAATTTCGTCCCACTTTGTAAGATATATTTTCCCTTTTGGGTTGTCCAAAAACTATAAACATTTTTTAATTTAGACTTCACTAACTTTCCCAATTCTCTGCTGTAAAAAAAAAAAAAACTTTCCCAATTCATTCATTTATCTATCATTTCAAATTTTCTTTATCTGGATCTGGTTTTCTCTTTTTAACTTTTTAATGGTTAGAACTGTAAAACAACTATTTTATTCCTTATTTTCTTTAAACTCACACCAAAGGCATATACTATCGTACATTTTACATTATGGGAAAAAAATATTAGTCCATATAAAATATGTCATGGCGTATAATATATTGTGAGTTTAAGAGTTCTGGAATGTAAGAGTACTGATTTGACAGAGAAAATGATTCTTTCTTGACAATAAAACCATATTATAAAAAGGAACCATCTTTACACACAAAAGAAGGGGAGGATGAAGGAAGAGAGAAATATGTACAGTTTGCTGGAGTCCGTTGATGTAAATAGCTTGAGAGCAGGAGGATTTGCCATGGCAGAGAGCAGAGGTGGTGACATCAACCAGCACAGACTTAGTCATCGCATCAGCTATCAAATGAACGCATAGCGGCACCAGAAGGTGCACCAATGGCTTCAGCACTTTCAGCATTTTTATCTTCTTCCTCTCGATTAATTCTCAATTACAGGCCCTTCATAAACTACCATCCAGCAAGCAACATATGTAAGTCAATCAAAAATACTGCCAGACTCTGTTTTTGGAGCCAAAAGTTCAGAGGTTACGTTTTTGGGATATAAAATTCTGAGGTTTGTTGTCCGTGTATGGCTATGGCGGGCGGCTCTGTAAGCTTTTAATGGAATCAAAGCAGAAAAAGACAAAATTAACATAAATAATTCATGCATTTAAGCAAGAATAAAATAATCCCAACTCCTCAAACGCTACACAAGAATAATTTGGAATATTCACAAGTCAACCGCGTTAACTTTTCCCTCAATTATTTTTGCATGCTCACTGATGTGAAAAAGATATAAAAGTTTAAGCGGCGATACTCACGTTATCCAAACTCATATGCAAAGTCTTTTTTTTTTTGTTTTTATTTGCTTATTTAGAATATCATTGATCAATTTTAAAATCCGCAATTTGAGACCCAAAATGTACGGAGTACTATTTTTGTTTCTAAGGTTACTCCCACTACGTCTAGGCTTTTGCCTAGGGTTCTGGCCGGTGGCGGTCATCAGAGGTGATTGTTATTTGGCTGGATTTTGCTTTCTGGAGGCGTTTGGATTTTGTGGACGGAGGCTTCGGTGTTTTTCTGGTATTGCTCATAAGGCTTGAAGGAGTCTTGAAGAGCTCGGCACTCTTTTCTGGAGCTATTCTTGCAGACTATTCTCTTCGGCAGATCCAGGTATTACAAGGATGAGCGCGGTGAAGTCGCAGTTGTGTTTGCTCCGGCAGGATTGTGGACGGGTTGGGATAGCTTTGTCAGGCAAGTCTGTTCGGCGAAGCAGCGGGCGGAGGGTCGGCTTCTGGTAGGCGTGTAGGATCGGCGAGCAAGGAAATGGGGCTGCTTTGCTCAGGTTTTTGTAAACGCAGGTATGACCGTATGACAGGGAGTTTGATCAACAAGAAGCAGGATGAGGAAGAAGATCAATATTGTTGGTCCGACCTCCTCCTGAACCGCCGCCACGGAGTGCAGAAAAGACTAGGGGTGCAGGCTCTTGGCATCTTCTTGCTGGATGACGAAGCAAGACTTTTATTTCTTAGCATTTATTTATTTTGATTGTCTGGTTTTTGTTGTTTACTTTCGGATTTTTATTTTATTCAACTGTAAGACTATGGATTTGGATGTGGGTGATGGAAGGATTGAGGTGATCAGCGAGTTATATTGCTTCTTATGAGGTGATTAACTCTGAGTCTGGTTCGCGGACGACGGTTGTCACGAATCTTTTTGTCGGATTACTTACTATCTGAATGATACGTTATCAATTTAAGCCTATTTTTTCCAAAAAAAGGTTTACTCCCACTATGAATTTAATAAAATATAGGGTAATTTGACCTTGCACCCCACTTTTTGAATAATAGTGGACTTTGCACTCCATTTTGTAAAAGCTTTGGCTTTGCAGTTTGCACCCATCATATAACATTTTGAGCCCGTTTGGTAGCACCAAAATCGGCTGTTTTGGCTGATTCTGCTGAAATTTATGATATTCTGGCTGGAGTGGCTGTTTTGGCTGATTCTGCTGATTTAAGAAAAAAATATTTTAAAAATATATTTTATTAATAAATTAAAGAAAAAATTATATGTAAAAATAGTTAAAATGGTCCTCAACAGTAACTTCAGCCAATACAGCCAGAAAAGTAACTCCAACCTTACTTTTTCGGCTTATTACACAATTCAGCGCGCGAAAGTAAAAGTTACGTGTTTGGTGAAAAAGCTGGCTGATAAGCCTGATAAGCCGAAAACAGAGTTCTCCAAACGGGCTCTTTGTGTATAAAAATTTGGGAATGAGTTGAAAACTCAAAGGATTATTAAGTGAAATGGGGTGCACTCTGTCCCATTTTATGTGTCTCATTTGATTTTGGCACAATTTTTAATAAAATGATTAAAAATGTAAAAGTTGTGGTTGACATGCATTAGAGTATAATAAAGTGACATGTTGTAAACCACGTATTTCTTTCCAAAAAGGAAATGTGACACTTACTTTTGAGCGACCCAAAAAGGAAAGTAAAACAGGTAAAATGGGACAGAGGGAGTAGTATTTGTTAAAATGTAGGCTGGAGTAGTAGAAATAAACAAATGACATTGTAGTACACATAAATTATCCTTTGCTCTATATTATTCCTTATCAATATTTTGATCATATTCAATATTTTACATTAAATAATTAATGATGTGAAGTGTATGATGATTAGATTTAACTTGGTCAAATCTTATAATTGGATGTCTCTTGAAATAGTACAAATGAAAAAATTAAATGACATTATTATAGAACACATCAAATTATCTTTTGCTATTCCTTATCAATATTTTGATCATATTCAATATTTTTAATTTAATAAATAATGATGTGAAGTGTGTGATGATTAGATATAACTTGGTCAAATCTTATAGTTGGATGTCTCTTGAAATTTGGAACAGGTGCGATACTAATGTATTACCGATATTATTTAATGTTTATGTAAGACTCTTACAGGCTCTTTGTACATTAAAACAAAGTTTAATATAAATTGAGACATCAATCATAAGCTTGATTTTTTATGTAAATAATTTGAACTTTTAAACAGTTTCACAAAAATGAATCAACATAATTGAGATTTAGCATCAATAGTCATATTTAACTTTTATGTTCATTTTGTGAGCAACTCAAGTTTTTTTTATATTAAGATAGGAGTTTTATTGGGTTTTTAGTTTATGTTGGCTGAAATCTTTTAACTCGTTTTTGGTGTGTTTGTTTCGAACTTTAATTATGTTGTTTTCCTTTCGCGGATAAAGCTCTCGATTAAGGTTAGTATTAGAGATTGGGTGGATCACTTTTTATTTTAACATGTCTGTCAACTAGTTAGTGTGTCATATTGCTCTTGTTGAGGTTGTCACTTGTTAGTCTCAATGTTGATTTCCGTAGTTGTTCGAAATTGTCCTAAATAGGAGTAAACACATTTTGAAATTCTAAAATAGGATTATCATGTTTTTTTATTTCCTGAATAGGAGTAATCTGCCATGTTTGAAAAAAATGTCATGTTTAAAGCCTAGTAATGCCAAACTTTGCAGAAATTTACTCCTATTCTGGGAATAAAAAATATGATAGTCCTATTTTGGAATTTCAAAACGTTTTTACTCCTATTTGGGGAATTCTCTCTTCATTATAATATAGGCCTTTTACAAAAAAAAAATACTACATTCATCTCCCTAATATTGAGACGGAAGAGAGTGGTGTAATTAAAGTAGGGATAATTTGAATTTGCACCCCATATTATTGTTCAAATTTGACTTTGCACCCCATTTTTAAAAGTCTTTGTTTTTGCACCCCAACCCCATATGAAAAGATAAAAAAGCCCCTCCTTTAACAATTTTGTTGGCCTTCAACATATTCCTGATCATGGGCATTTTTTGTATTTTCATATGGAGTTAGGGTGCAAAAACAAAGTCTTTTAAAAACGGAGTGCAAAGTCCAATTTGAACAATAATATGGGGTGCAAACTCAAAATACCCCATTAAAGTAGAATTATGTGGTTGATAAAGTAAAAATAATGTAAGGATGAATTAGAATCACACAAATATTACCAAATATGGTATGAGACAATAATAGTGAGACACTCAAAAACGAAAAAATTAGACAATTATAGAGAGGCGGATGGAGCAGCAGTTACTATCATGAACTTATCAATTCATGACATGTAAATCGATATTTTTTTTAAATGAGTAAATGTGAGAATTTAGGAGTCAATTTTTTTCCAAAAACAATACTCCGTACAATTCAAGCTTACCTATCATTAAAATTCAAAATATATTTTATAAAGGAAATAGGGGGAAACAACCATTTAGATAATCCTTTCATCATTAAATTAAAGCTATAACCCACAAGAGGCTTCAGATGTGTTTGACATTTAGCGGTGTTAAAGAATAATGGATTATGTTAGTGAGTTGTTAATAGCAGTTTCAATCAGCGAAGTAGTTAGGATGTTTTTTTTTGGACTGAAATTTGCTGGTCTGGTCTGGTCTGGTCTGTTTAAGTCTGGTCTGGTCTGGTCTGGTCTGTTTAAGTCTGGTCTGATCTGGTCTGAACGGGTCTGGTCTAGTCTGGTCTAGTCTGGTAAACGTCTGGTCTCTGTGTATTTTATAACTACGGAAGTCTGGTCTGGTCTGGTCTGGTCTGTTTAAGTCTGGTCTGGTCTGGTCTGGTCTGTTTAAGTATGGTCTGGTCTGGTCTGGGACTGAAAACAGTCCAAAAGAAAAAATCCTTAATAGTGGAGTACGTTGGCGATTCGGCAGAAGATATTTGGTAATTTAGCTTTTCATGGAAAAAGAAAAAGAAAAAAAATATGGGGAAAAAAATATAAAATGCCAGGCAAGGTTAATCAGGAAACTTGATTCCGACGAGCTAAAGTCTAAAACGCTCAATTGAACGTGTTTTAAGAGTTCTAAGAGTTTCAATTAACCTTTTTTTAAAATATGAGAATCTACATTTTCCTTATAGTACAAGACTTATTTGATACTTTTGTTAAGTTCAAACTTGAGCTCCATTACTCCAGCCAGGGGCTCTTCTATTTGCTGATCACTCGTTTGGCTAAGCCTACAACGGAAATGAGTCTTACTTCCTCAATAACTCCCCTCTTTACAACCCCAAGATTTTCAGCTAAATCTTCCGCACTTCATTTTCAATTCGCCATCTCCAACTCTTGTCGTTCATCCAATATCGTCCTATCCTTCTCTTCATCAAGTTATGGCTTTTGCTGCAGAGCAATTCCTACAACTTCTACGCCCTCTCCTTATGGAGCTCCAACTAAAGCCCATCAACATTGGATGGTTCTCGTGGAACCTCCCCCTCAAGGCTTCACTTCGAGGTCTCAAATCATCAATTACTATGTCAAAACCCTAGAGAGAGTATTGGGCAGGTTTCTTCTGCAGCCATATCACATTCTAATTTTATTAAAGATGCTTTATTTATTTACTTGTATCTTAATGATTAGTTTCATGAAATTTGGTTCCCTCCCCATGGAATTTGAAGATGGCCAAAATACTTACAGGCTTTCTGAATTAAATTGTTGGTTGCCGCAATGCTGCAGATTTCCCCAGCCCGGGATGCTTGGTGGCAGTGATTAGGAAAGGGGAGAATTTACCCTTACACTTGATAAAATGTATAAGTTGTATGATGGAATTCACGACTATATTGGTTCTATTAATAATAAATACAGTGCATTATGCATATGAGGCTTATATCTGACTCATAGTCCTACAATAGGAAAGAGAATCACATAAAAAAAGAGAAATTAATAATATAATAAGTAAAAGATTACTACTACCTCTGTCCCGCTTAAAAGTTCTCATTGCAAAATGGCACGGTTATTTAGATAGTAATTAAGTAAAGTAATTCGAGTATATTTGGAGAAATAGTTTTGATGGATATATTATATAATGGGCTCATTGATGATAACTGTGTTGTTGGAGATGTATTCTTTTTTATATTTGATGATTAAATTGTCATTTAAGAGTATTAATTGTTTCCTAAAATAGAAATGGGAACTTTTATAGGGGACGTCCAAAAAGGAAAGCGAGAACCTTAGAATGGAACGGATGAAGTACTATATACATAATGTCCTAATATGGATTTTTTATATGCACTTTAGTAATTAATGGTTCATATAGATTTTTCAGGGGATTAAGAAGAAAATAGAACAGTTAGTGAATAGTGTAGACCGATGTTCACAGTTAGTGAACAGTTAGGAGAGAATAAATGAAAAAAATTGAAAGAGAAAGTTAAAAAAAAAAGTAAGATGACGATGTGAGGTGAAAGTGACCCATAGTTGTCGATGGCGTGAAATGGCGCGCGCGCCATGCGCCATGAGGCGCACTTATCACCCCTGCGCTACGTAAAAGGCCTGTGGCGAGGCATATACACATGGCGTCGCCATTCCTGCGCCTTCGCCATGGCGTTGGGCGAACAAATCCTTACCTTATTCGCAAGTAGAACTGCATTGGCAGGCCCAGAACAAGATAAAATAAATTGAGGCCTTAATTTTTTAGCAAGCTAATTTAATTAAGGCTTTAGGCTTAATATTAAAAGTCGTATACCCAAGCCCAGACTAATACCCAAGCCAAAGTCATATACCCGAGTCACACGCAGGAATCAAACGAATACGAATAAGACGAAGGGAACTCACAGAGTCGCCCTTCCTCTGTCCCTCGCGGAAGCAGAGCCGCAGAACTTCCCATTCCCAGGACCTCGATCTTTTTAAGTTGTGTATTTATAGTTTTGTTGTTTTAACTGTGATACTTCTATTTTAAAATAACCTTCTATGATATACTTCACCTTTTGTTTTGATTAGTTTTTTAATTTTAATTCTCATTAATAAACCTTGTTTTCAATTATAAATGTAAGTTTCTTTTGCATTTTTTTTAATTGTGAGTTTTAATTCTAATTTATATACAATATATAATTATATATATAAATATAGTTATATATAAATATATAGTTATATATATATAAATAAAATGAATAAAGATGCTAGCAAACCAAGGTGATGAGAACTGAGGAGTGTGACAATTGATGATGATTATGGAATAATTATCAAACAAAAAAAAGCTAATATATTTTGAAAGACATGGAGCTTTTTTTTTTAATATTATGTTTTTGGAACTACTTTAAACTATTTGAATGTCACATGTTTTGGTTAGAATGTTGTTATTCAACTTGTTTATCATATTTTGGTGGCTGGGGATACAATTGTAGTGTTTATAATTCACTTTTTTAGCTTTTTTTATTTTTGTCACGTGGCGACGCCATATTTGCGCCATCGCCATCGCCATGGAAAAATGCATGTGCGCCATGTATGTCGCCATGCGCCATGACAACTATGAAGTGACCAATAATGAAATTGGAACAAATAATAAAGCACTTCTCAAGATGAAATATGGAACAAATAATAAAATAGTAAGGGGGTAATATTATTCCTGAGGCTATCCAGTTTTTTTTTAATTTCTTGAAAGCTTGTCTGGGTGTTAGAATATACCTCAGGAAAGCTGTTTCATTAATTTTAGTTCTTCTTCTTCTTTCTCTCTTTGGTTTATAAAGTGAGAGAGACGCTCAAATGTGTATATATGCTTCTTCTTATGAAGCAAATTTTGGGTTTTACTGCGACATTACTGAAGAGGAAGCTCAAAAGCTAGCAGGTAGTGTTTTATCTTCAGGTTTGGAATTCTTTAATAGAAAATCATTAGTTTTACTTTACCTCGAGTCTCCTGTAGGATTTATGCTTTCTATCCTGTCATTCTTTAGTACAAATAAATTGTCAATGCTCAATTCGTGTTTCTGAATCATAGGTTTACCCAATGTATTATCAGTTAAGCACGATCCCTGTTATAACTCTGATGAAAAGGATTACAGTCTGCCAAGTTCTTTATCAAACATGGGTAGCTCATTACTATTCCCAATTGGAACATCTAAACGCTGGTGTGTCCGTACCAGCAGGCCAGCTGTTGAAGTCTCTGGAAAGGCACCATTAGTTGACTATTATGTTCAGATTCTAGCAGAAGTTCTTCGAAAGTGTGTAAATGTTTCTATTTCTTTGTACTTCTTTGCTCTTATGTTTGGGTATATTTAAACAATGGCATCTTAAAGGCAGTATGACCTTAATTGGTTAGTGAGAAGGATGCTCAAATGTGCTTGTATCATGTACTATGGGGTTCTGAATATGGATTTTGTTGTGAATTAGATGAAGAATGTGCACAAGAGTTAGCAGGTAAGAATCCTTAGTTATCACTACTTGTGTGAAAAAAATGCCACGTTTTCCCAGCATATAACTTTTACTTTTGGTAGAATACAACTCTCATAAATAGTACCTATGCTTATATTTTATAAATTAATTTGTTGTTGTAACCAAATCTATCGTATGTGACTTGTCCTCCATGACTGTTTTGAAAAATTACATTAAAAACTAGTTTCGTTTGATCAAACTGAACTCTTTATTTGGTATGTAGTACATAATAACTATCAGAAGATGGTTTTTAGTGGAACTTCATCTTGGTAAGTGTACTCGATTGATCTAGTGCAGCTGTACCGGGAGTTTTGTCTGTCCACCCAGATGATGAGTTTGTGTCAGATAAGGAAGATTACAAAGGTTTGTGATGATAACTTAATCTCTTAATTTATTCACTGTCGTTGTTGACCTTTGTTGGGGGTCTAACCCAAGTGGCACATTCGAAAAATAAAGGAGAATCATCTTGAATATAAGTGTCCATCTAACTGCATTCATATGGGGTCTTTTGGGTGTGTCAAAAACAAGTTCATGTGGGTTCGTCCCAAATGGACAATATCATACCTAGTACTAATGTGGAGCTAAGGTGACCTGTGTCGATGAACGAAAAGGCATTTTATATTTTGCTAATGCTTATTAATTTATAATGACATATAAGAAAGAAATAAGTACCCAACAAATTTGGTACAATTCTAGACATAATATTTACATTTTTCAATAATTTAGTCCTATTTCTAAAATGAAATATCTAGTTGGGTGTCAACTTTCAAGTTTGCTACCTTTTTCACGCGTAGCTAGGAAGCAGCATTTTCCCACCGCCTTATGCCTATGCGCCTCAATTTGGAACACTTTACCTAATAGAAACAGTTATAAGCTTAAAGTCCAGAATCCTAACCAAAGTAATTGTCTCAGGTGGAAGCTCAAAGTATATTGATGATTCCAAAGATTCTTCAACATCAAATGTTAAAACCAAGAAACTTTTTGTGACTGGTACGTTGCACTTTTCATGGAAACCAATCCTTCCCCTTACTCCCTAGAAAAGAACTCTGTGATTTTCAAGGAAAATGAACTCTCACATTCTATTGGAATTTGGAAGTAACACTGAAAAAACTACCGAAAGGAAAAAAAAGCCAAGTCCTATTGTTGTGTTTTGTTTTACCATAGTAAACACAAAGGACTATGGAGTTGATTAATGTTTTTAACTAAAAATTTTTATAATAATTATTTCAATAGATAAACTAAGTAGTTGAAAAGTTTTGAAAAAAATATAAATAACAAATTTATCATGTTTTGAACAGATATTATATTTCCCCCAAATTTTCTTTACTATCTAATTTCCTATATATATTTGCCTCCCTATTTTCTTTTGTAGCATCTCCAGAGTTCCAAATAGACCCTTTACATTGAAACCACACACCCAAGTTAGAGATGGGCGAATGAATGGGTGTGTTATATTAGCTTTGTCTACTAATTTGTGCGATTTGTCATGCATGGTCAGGTCTATCATTCTATACATCCGAGAAAACATTGCGTGCAGCGTTTGAAGGGTATGGGAAGCTTGTTGAAGGTATTTTACTTTAAAATGTGGTTCAGATTATGGTTTCATAAACATTGCGTATGGGGAGCTTGTTGACGCAATGTAATATCATGGGGATCCGTAAATCTTCCTCTGCTTTTCGATGTAATAACAATATTAAAGAGTTGTTGACCAAACTCATTATAATAGCCCCCTAAATCTGGACAGTTAAAATAATCGTGGACAAGATTTCCAAGAGGTCAAAAGGCTATGGTTTTTTGGAGTACACAACAGAAGAGGCCGCAACTGCTGCTCTCAATCAGATGAATGGCAAGGTTAGTTAGCTGCAAGCCTACAAATGACTATATTTTCATTATTATTATTTTGGAAAATTAGAGTTCACATCCCATTTTCAAATCATCAACATTTTTCATTCTGTCCTTGGAAGAAACTGGTGGGGAAAAGTACAATTTGAACAAAGTTCAGGGGTGCAATTTCAAACAATTTTGACGGCTAGTAGCAGATTTTCCTAATTGCGGTGCAAATATTAATGATTTAGAAAATGGGGTGCAAACTCAAATTTGAAAAAGTGGGGTGCCAAAAGAAGTCCCTGGTTTTCTCACTAAAGTACTAGTACCATTTATTCATCTAAATTTCTTTGGCAATATTAAATTCCACAGATTATTAATGGGTGGATGATCACGGTCGATGTCGCAAAGAAGAATCCGCCAAAATATAATCGAGGGAGCTCAGGTCTAATTAGCTGACATTTTCCTAGCACTTTGGTTGTCTTGGCATTCAGTTACCAGCAGTCAAAGAAACCCTTTTTTCTATACAACGGAACAGTGCGAGATTCAGCTAGTTTACCGCAAAGAAAAATGCAGTGTCTTATAGTGTTGCAGCCAAAGAGCACTGGTGTACAGGTGTACTATTGTACAACCACCATACTATGTTATTTACTATTGGGCCAAATACCCAAAAATGCCACTGAATATCCAACAGAAAAAACCGTGATGACCACCTAACGTTCATCATCATCAAACATCTATCTTATTTAATCCTAGATTAATTTACATAATGCATAATGACCATAAAATTAAAAAAAAAAACACTTTGATCTTGGACATGCCAGACTACAATGTACGTGATGAGTTCGTACACGGTACACCCGGTTGTACGATGCTCACCGTACAACCGGGTATTTTATCTTATACTTAATGAGTATAACGTTTAAAAGAAATAAGTATTGGTATTAATTCACTGTTTTGGTAGCACAATTGAATATTATGATGTACACGTGATATATATATATATATATATATATATATATATATATATATATATATATATATATATATATATATATATATATATATATATATATATATATATATGTTAAAAATCAACTTATTCTTTTAACTACATTATCATAGTATTATCATAAAAAAAATTATTATGTTAATTTTATAATTTAATATCAATACTCATTCCAACTTCCAAGTATGTCAAAGTTTTACTTCTTTTATTGCAGCAATTAATTTTATGATTATTTACTATTTTATTTCGTTAATGTAAGAATTAATGGTAGCATGGCTCGTAATTGATCGTTTTTTAATATCAACTAATCCAAGGTCATTGGGTTATTTCGGTTCGGTAGGTGCTCAATGGGACCTTTGAAAACTAATTGTTACATTTTGACATTAGCTTCTTATTCTTGAACAAGCCACATGTGAATAAGGGTGGGCAAAAATACCGAAAAATCGATATACCGCACTTACCGTACCGAAAAATACCGGAATATTGGTATACCGTCATTATTGGTACGGTATCATGTCGTACTGATATATTTCGGTATGATAACGGTAAATGTTTTCAAATACCGCGGTATACCGGTATAATACCGTACCGACTCCCTAGTCCCTACCCAACAATTACTTTAAATTCTTAAATATTGTATAAGTCCATTACAATTTTGAAGTCCAAAATTAATACTTAGGTTGGTTACAAATACTAAAAAACAGAAATAAAGGTCTAATTTCCCAAACCCAGTATAACCTTCTAGGCTTCTAATAAGTAACATTCAAACAAACTAACTCTAATGACTAATGAGTAATGTACTAATGTTCGGAAACCAGTCCATCTTGTTACATGAGCCTGGATGTTGCGATGGTTGAGCTGTTGAATAGCTGACGAGTGAAGAGTGATACATTTATGTGACGAGTGTATCTAGATAGGGATTTCGCGAGTCGAGGCACGCAATTTTGTTTGAAAGTCTTATTGAAATATTTTTTAAAATTATAAAAATGACTAAATACGCAATATCATATTAGGGATAAATGATTCCGTATCCATGTTGTTTGAATAATTTTATTTATTTTTGTAAAAGATCACTATTCATTTAATTATATCTACATTATTCAAGTTATTTTAGGAGAATGTGTTATTTTTAATATGAACTGCTTAAATATACTAATAATGATTATTGTCCAATGTTGAATATAATATCAATAGATGATTGATTGTATTTTGTAACATTTTAATAATGGATTAAATATGTCGCTTGTAACATTGTTTTAGTATAATTTATTAGTTTATGATAATTTGTTGTATTGTGAGACATGCATGGTAATTTACCGATATCATACCGTTACCGAACCGAAACTTCGGTATACCGAAATACGGTATACCGAAACTTTGGTAAGGTAAAAGTATATAAATTTTGTATACCGAAAGTTTTGGTACAACAAAGGCGGCAAAGGTATGAGAGAAAATATTCGGTATACCGTACCGAACCATCCCTACATGTGACCTGCACTTTTGTTTTAGTAGCAGTATAGAAGATAAGGCTCATACATTAGGCAGGGACATTATTCAACTTACGGATTGCCAAAAAAGGTATTTCTGGAAAGAGAAAACATATAATATCAATACCATTCCTATGTACAAATGTCCATTACCACATGATTTATCCAACAAACCTAAGCTTAAAGCCTTTATAAGATAAACCAACCACATCAGTATACATTGTTCATTACCATTTACCAACTCTGCAAGAGATCTATTTTCCTCCGTGGAACAGCGGTTGATAGTTTTATTGAAATGTAGTGTTGTCAAATTAATAGGGATCAGTATCATGATTACAACTTTTACCAGCAGTAAAAAGTAAATAAACTCCCTTAGAGCATAATTACCCTTCCTCACCAAACTCTCTTGTAAACCTCTCATGCACTTCAAGATCTGATTTGCTCACTGTAGGCTTCTGTTTTGCCAGCACTTTGTCAAAATCTCTCCGCGCGATTGGAGGTGGTGTTACCTGTAGATGAATGTTTAATTGCCCAAAGTTGGAGGCTTTGCTTTTATATTTTACACAAGAAGCTGATAGATAATAAGCTAAGCTAGTAATAAGAGAATTAGGATCAGACAGCTTATATAGTGTGTGACAGACTGACAGATAAACTAGCATTTGACATCATATATTAGTACTTGGCAAAAAAACAGCTGAAATGTTAGATTACTAGATAGAATATATAGAGTGACACGATAGGATATGTTCAATATTTTTTTAATAGCGACTTTGCGTAAATGTTTTCTTTTTTTCATTTTTGGGTATCAAGTTTGAATTTTTCCGTTAAAACAGTTATGTCTGCTAATTCTTCAATTGCGCTTTCCTGCATTTGACATAATTTATACATAAATAAATCTATAATGCCTATTATTAAAAAGTACTCTCTAATAACACTATAGCAAGAGTGCATTCTTGTTATGTATGGATGTTGACTTTAAATTCTATTGTGGCTCTGCTCAATATAAAGGGCTAATCAATATGAAGCGCAACAAATCAAATTAATCAAACAGGAGAGTGATATAGCACACAGATCGTCCAGAATTGGTCATGCTGCCTGGAAAACATAAATGGGACAAATGAGATACTCTCTCCGTTCCGCTAAGATTGTCTCATTTTACCTTTTCGGGAAATCCCGCTAAGATTGTCTCATACCAAATTTGGAAAATTTGTGTAGTTCTAAATTATTCTTACTTTATTCTTGCTTTATCAATTCAATATCAACCACATATTCACATAAACACACTTTTCGTAATAATCGGGACACATCCCCTTGTCCCAATGTTAGTGGGATGAAGGTAGTATTACCTTTGAAGCTAAGCCCTTAGCTGCAAGCTCTTGCATGTTTGTCTGAATGGCACCTGGCTGCCTAGGTCCACACGGCACCCATAGTTCATCACGAGTCTTGATAAAGAACTCAGCGTCTTGAGTCTTGCGAACCGGTTCAAACAAAACCTCATTTACCTGAAATTTCAGGGAGGTCAGAGAGGAAAGTTGCATCAACTAAATCTTCAGAAACAATGATATGCTATGCCTTTAGGAAATTGATCATTGTTAAATAGTAAATATATCTGTTGGAAGTGAGAATCAATTAATGGAAGCTAGGTGTTTCAGACATGGAATTATAAAAAAAATTTAAGTAAAAACTCTGGTTACTCATTAACTACTCCTACAACATCAACAAATAAAAACGAAGGGGTAAATGATCACTTGTACGTGAAGCAATGCATTAACTTGATGAAAGTTATTTGATAACGGATGTAGTATATGACACTTACGCAAACAGATATGTCAGAACCTGAAAAACCTTCTGTTTTTATAGCTAGTTGCTCAAAATCACTTTCAGTAAGGTTGTGAGGAGTATCACCCAGATGTACCTGTTTGTATAGACAATATAATAATGATTATACAAACTACAAGAAAATGCCAAAAAGATGCTCTGTAGAAAGCTCATTGTACCTTGAACATATGTTGTCTTGCCCTCATATCAGGTAGAGGAATATATATTCTCTTGTCAAACCGCCTCCTAATAGCCTGGTCTAGTGCATAAGGAGTATTTGTCGCCGCAAGAACAAGAACCTTTTCATCATTATGTCCAACGCCCTAAAATGTAACAACAAAATAAAGTAAACTGTGGAAAGAATGCAAGTCTTATCACATATATTGGACACGATATTAGAACTATAAAAATAAATGATACTAAAGATGTAAATAGAGCTATAACTTTTCACCAGAGAAAAGCTAGTTCACAGAGTTTCCTTCCATTATTAATAGTTTATTTTGCTTATTTTTGTTTTAAAAATATAAACTCCGAAATTATATTATTTTGATTTCTTCCTCGAATCAGCCCCAAAGAAATTGAACATTTTCAATGAAGAAATATAGAGTTTTACCCATATTTAAAAAAACTCACCTGCATCTGTACAAGGAGCTCAGTTTTGATACGCCTTGAAGCTTCACTCTCATTGCCCTCACCTCGTTGGCCAACTAAGGAATCAATTTCATCTACAAAGATAATGGATGGAGCACTTTCACGAGCCATTTGGAATAGATTTGAGACAAGCTTTTCACTTTCACCCATCCATTTTGAAACAAGGTCTGAGGAAGAAATACTGTATATATACAAGAAGCAAAAATTTATAAGTCGATTCAACATTCAAGTAAGATACAATTTATCAAGAGCATCATTCATGACTTTAGTCGAGTGTACACTGGTAAATAAGAAAAGAACTAGGAATTTTCCCAACACGTGCCTAACTAGAGACTATTACAGTATTACATGATGGTAGAAGCACGTTTTCATCATACCTGAAGAAGGTCGAGTCAGCTTCTGTAGCTACAGCTTTTGCTAGATATGATTTTCCTGTTCCAGGTGGACCATAGAGTAGAAAGGCTCTCCATGGCCGCCGCTTTCCTATTCAAATATTCAAATATATAAAATGAATAAGAACTATCAATTTTTTAAATTAATAAGGATTATACTTGCATACGGAGTATTATTTTGTGCATTTTCCATAGTTTAAAAAAAATTATGTTCGATTCTTCTGTTGTCATTGATAGCTTACTATATTCTTTTTATTTAAAAGAAAGAAAAAAAAAATAACACAATACTTGATAGCATTAAATAAACTTAATCTGAACTTAGGTTCTGCAAAGAGATCTAGTTAACCGATATGACCAGTGGGTGGCAGGCCCCACTTCCAGCGGACAAAATATTGCAAACCTAATTAAGTTGTCAAAAATTTCACTTCATTTAAAAAGAATCCTAAAAGTTAGTCATTAAGGTGACT